CTGGGAAGACAAACTGGGGAGCAAGACAGACCATACAAACCAGGGTTCCAATGCAGGAAACTGAAGCCTCAAAACCTCTGGATGTAAAAATTTGTGGGGGGTTGTGGCACCAGGAGAAACACCCAGCCTCACAGGAGAGTCCATTGGAGAGATCATCAGGGCTCTAGAATCTACTAGAATCACTTCCTCCACTTCACCCTTCCTGAAATCAGCACCAGAAGGGCTCAGTTTGCTTGTGGGTAGTGGAGGAAGTGATTGAAAGTGCACAAGAACCAAGCAGGTGGCATTGTTCCCTCTCTTACCCCTCCCACTACAGACATTGCCACAATGTCAGTGAAGTGGGTTGCCCTACCCTGGAGAATACCTAAGGCTCCACCCCTAACTACAAAGAAATATGGCCCAAATGAAAGAACAGATCAAAGCTCCAGAAAACAAACTAGGTGACAAGGAGATAGCCAACCTATCAGAAGCAGAGTATAAAACATTGGTAATGAGTATGCTCACAGAAATTATTGAGTATGGATGCAGAAAAAGAGAAAGAAGTGAAAGCTATGCAAAGGGAAATAAAGCAAAATATACAGGGAACCAACAGTGAAAGGAAGGGAACGAGGACTCTAATCAGTGATTTGGAACAGAAGGAAGAAAAAACATTTGACCAAAACAGAATGAAGAAACAAGAATTCAAAAAATGAGGAGAGGCTTAGGAACCTCCAAGACAACTTTAAAGGTTCCAACATCAAAACCATAGGGGTTCCAGAAGGAGAAGAGGAAGAGCAAGACATTGAAAACTTATTTGAAAACATGATGGAGAACTTCCTCGATCTGGCAAAAGAAATAGACTTCCAGGAAGTCTAGGAAGCTCAGAGTCCCAAAGAAGTTGGACCCAAGGAGGAACACAACAAGGCACATCATACTGATATTACCCAAGATTAAAGATAAGGAGAGAATCTTGAAAGCAGCAAGAGAAAAGGAGACAGTTACTTACAAAGGAGTTCCTATAAGACTATCAGCTCATTTCTCAAAAGGAACCTTACAGGCAAGAAGGGGCTGGAAAGATGTATTGGGAGTCATAAAAGGCAAGGACCTACATCCAAGATTACTCTATCCAGTAAAACTATCATTCAAAATGGGAGGGCAGATAAAGTGCTTCCAAGATAAGGTTGAGTTAAAGGAGTTCGTTATCACAAAGCCCTTATTATATGAAATGTTAAAGGCACTTACCTAAGAAAAAGAAGACCAAAGCTATGACTAGTAAAATGACAACAAACTTACCACTATCAACAACTGAACCTAAAAACAAAATGAAAACAAACTAAGCAAACAACTAGAACAGGAATAGAATCACAGAAATAAAAATCACATGGAGGGTTGTCAACAGAAAGGGGGAGGAAGGAGAATGGGGGAAAAGGTACAAGGAAGAAGCATAAATGGTAGGTGCAAAATAGAGAGGGGGAGGTTAAGAGTAGTATGGGAAATAGAGAAGATGAACTCATATGTAAGACCCATGGACATGAACTAAGTGGGGAGAATGCTAGTGGGAGGTGGGGTGCAAGGTGGAAGGGGATAAACAGGAGAGTAAAATGGGACAACTGTAATAGCATAATCAATAAAATATAATTTAAAAAATTTGGTTTATAAATAGAATGCTTAGCTCTCAAAGTCTGTTCCTGTAAGGATGTTTACAACTACATAAATCATCAGTAAAAGGTATGTATGCAATTTGAATTTAATTAGAAATGAGTTTATTATATCACAATTTATCACTTCTCTTAATTTTAACAAGACAGCCCACTTTTATCATAGAATGCCCTTCAACCATCGTGGTACTGAAGTGCTGTGTTCACCCTTATTTTACTTAATAATGGCCCCAAAGTGCAAAAGTAATGATGTTCACAATTAAGATATGCCAGAGAGAAGCCATAAAGTGCTTCTTTTAAGTGAAAAGCTGAGTACAAGTAGAGTAAGGTATTTTTAGAGAGGCAGAAACAGTCTATATTCTAATAACTTTTTCATATTATCATTGTTCTATTTTATTTTTTGTTATTATTGTTAATTTCTTACTGTGCCTAATTTATGAATTAAACTTTATCATAGGTATGTAAGTATAGGAAAAACATAGTACATACATGGTTCAGTACTATCTGTGGTTTCAGGCACCTACTGGGGGTCTTGAATGTATCCCCGTGGATAAAAGAGAACTACTGTACCATATCGTGGTTCCCATAGTGACACAGTTCTCTCCAAGATACTCTTACTCTTTTCTGTTTCTATGCCTTAACTAGTGAAAAAATGATCTATCTTTTTAAAGAAAATAATCCTTGAGCATTTTAAAATTGAATTTATTGGAGGGACATTAGGTTAACACAATTATATAGGGTTCAGGTACAGAGTTCTACAATACATCATCAGTAGATTGAATTGCTCACCATCCCAAGCCAAGTCTCCTTTCATCACCATTTATCCCCCCTTCACTCCCTTCTTCCTCCCCCCACCCCTGCTTCCCTCTGGCAATCACCATACTGTCATCTGTGTCCTTGAGTATTTCTTTTTTTCCTTTGTTTAATCCCTTCAGTCTTCTCACCCAGCCCACCAACCCCATCCCCTCTGACAGCTGTCAGTCTGTTCTCTGTATCCATGATTTATCTACACTTTGTTAGTTTATTTTGTTCATCAGAATTCCCCATGTAAGTGAAATCATATGGTTCTTGTCTTTTTCTGACTGGCTTATTTCACTTACTATAATACTCTTTAGGTCTATCCATTCTGTTGCAGAAGGGATTTCTCTAATCTGTTTTTGCAGAACCTCTGCAGAGTTGCTGTGGTGAAGCCACTTGTATTAACAATATGATACACTTTCTCTGTGGTGCAGAAGTGTGTAAGGAGAACACAGGGTGTTGACCTTGAAGAATGCTTCAGAAACTGTATGTAAGGGGCCACAGAGGTAAGAGGCAGAGACAAAATATTTTTTAAATGTCACCAGGAAAATATTCTGAGGGAAATGAAATCAATTAAAATAAGATCTAATTGATTCCATTAGGTATGCTTTCCTTGTTATGTGTGTGTGTGTCAGAAAAACCACTGGGGCCATCTGTTAAATGTTTATTTCCATTGTTACTTTTAAGGTGCCAAAAAGCCTGTAATGGGAAGAACAAGGAAAATAGCCTTTAAGACTTTTGGAGAATGATCAGGAAAAGGAAAATCCAGGAGCCAAATTCAGTCTCAAGTTCTATCTTCTTTTTTTATAGCCAGAAATTTATAGAATAAGCAAGCCTACCTTTTCAAGGAATTATTTCCTAAATCTCTGATTCTTACCCTCATTATTAATAATCCTTATGGCAGAGGAAATGGAAATTGGGATGAAGACATTTTGTCATTTGTTGATACATATTTGAAAGGACAAAGGAAATACAGCAAAGACAGGAAACTAACCACTCCACTTGCTAGCTCTTCTGGAATAAAGTTTGAGAAGAAGGATGAAGTCTTCAGCCAAAAAAAATGTACAATCACCTGTCTGTATGATATAATTATTCATGCTCCCCCTGCCCACAATTAGTCTGGATAATCAAATACTGAGTGACCCAGAAAGACTGAAAAAACAATAAACCATTTTCTGGTGGCCTCACATGCTCCCAAAGCTGAATCCTGCTAGCTGACATCCAAGAATAGCTTCATCATGGAAAAATTGAAGAAGAAAGTAATTAGCATCCCTGAACAAATTTTGAAAGTTTGTGTCTACAATAGATTAATTTATAAGAGGGAAAACTGGGGTTTTCTGTTCCCTAAACTATAAGAATTTACAGAGACAATACCTAAACTGCCAGGAGCTGCAGAGTTAGTTACCCCAAATCTTGTTGCCAAAAACTAATTTTATTTGGCAAAAGGTGAAGTGAGTCTCCTTCTATGGCCCAAACTTCAAATTAGCCTGCAAATAACAAATTCTCATTTTTCCACATAAATACAAAACCCTTTACTTAAATATTGTGAATTTTTTGGAGACTAAAACTAATATATAGGACTCACTTTCAAGTATAGTAACCATTTAACAAAGCCCTTTGGGCACTTCAGTAAATAAATCCTCTGACTGGACTACAACAGAAAAGAATTTGGTAAAAAGCCAATTGCTTAAAGAAAGTTACAGTGAGATTTCAGCATTTTATGGGATATATTTTTTTAGGCTCATTCTATGGAAGGGTCATGTTTTTGGTGAAAGTAAAGGATTGTAATGCTTCACTCACATCCCAACAAGGCAGGAATTTTTATTCATGTGTTTTATCTCTAGCTATCTATTTTTTTAATCCTCACCCAAGGATATGTTTAATTTTGTTTTCTTTTGTTTTTATTTTGGAGAGGAAAGGAGAGAGAGAGAAATATCAAGGTGAGAGAAAAACATCAATCAGTTGCCTCACATAGGTGCCCCATTAGGGATCGAACCCACAACCTAAGTATTTGCCCTGACTGGGAATCAAATCCACAACCTTTTTTGGTGTATGGGACAAAACTCCAATCAACTGTGCCATCCAGCCTTCTGTAGCATGTCAGAGTAAATTGTAGATATGATGCCTCTTTAAAAAATTAAGTGTGAATTTTTCTATTAACAATGACTTTTCCTATGTAAACATAGCACAATGATCAAACTCAGGATATTAACCTTGATATAACATCCTTATCTAGTCTATAGACATTCAAACTTTGTCACTCAGCCTATTAATGCTTTTTTTGTCAGAAGAAAATAATATCTGGCTTAGGACTCAATCTATGATCATAGGTTGCTTCCAGCTGTCACATCTTTATAGTGTCCTTAAACCTGGAACAGTTCCACAGTCTTTTGCATCTTTCACGATTCATTTTTTGAATAGTACAGGCCAATTACCTTATAGACTGTCCCTCAAAAAGTGGGAAATCTCAGCAGGTAAATAAATACAGTGAAAAGAACCAAAAAGAAGATTTAGAATTAAAAAATACAATAACTGGTATAAGCAAATCACTGGATGAGTTCATAAGTAAAATGGAAGTGACAAAGGAAAATGTTAATAAATTTGACTATAGCATAAAAATAATCTAATGTGAAGAACAGATGGAAAAAGAGAACAAACCGACAGTGAGCAGAAGGGATGGGGGTGGGGGATACCCCGGGAAAGAAGGGGAAGGGGTCAAGTCAAAGAAAATGTATAAAGGACCCATGGACAAAGACAATGGGGGTTGGGGCAGGGATGATTGAATGTGGGAGGTGGGGGCTGGGTAGGGCAGGAAAGAGTAATGGAGGGAAAATGGGGACAACTGTAATTGAATAACAATAAAAAATACCTTAAAATAATTTAAAAACAACAATAACAAACCCAGAGCTTCAGGAACCTATGCAACATTGTGAAAACATCTAGAATATATGTTATGTAACTGGAACCCTAAAAAGAGAAGAGGGAGATAGAGACAGAAAAAAGGATATAGTTGAAGACATAATGGCCAAAAACTTTCTATATTTGGTGAAAGCCACAAATTTACAGAATCAAAAAGTTTAACAAACTCTAAACAGGATAAATTCAAAGAAAGCCTTTGGCTAGACACACCATAATTTGTTGGAAAAGATGGGGGAAAGAACCTTGGAAACAGCTAGAGGGAACAAAAAGACACATTACATATAGGGAAATAAAGATCTGAATGACTGCGATTTCTCATCAAAATCATGAAAACCAGAAAACAGTGAAGCAACTTCTTTTCTGAAGGACACTAAATTTTAAAGTGTTTACATCTTTTATCTTAGAATTATACTTCTTGGAATTTACTACAAATAAATGTACCTAAAAATGCTCATCACAGTGTTACTTGAAACAGTAAAAACCATAAATAAATTTTTACCAATATTGGAGGGACTAAATACATTATTTTATGTTCATATAAATTACTATTCAGATATTTAAAGTTTTAGTCATATATTTATTGACACAATCTTGTTAAATTTTGGAAGCAAGTATGATATATTTTCTGAAATTACGAAAAGCAAGTTCTCACTCAAGTAAGGAAGAAACTTTTGTCAAAGGAAAAAAGACCAAATGGCCAAACTACCATTAGGTTCAGAAATCATTATTATTAACATTATTTTTTGTTAATGTTAAAATTTTCAAATCATGACCAAGAAGTCATATCCTCTTGATTTTAGTGAATTCCTCTTTAAAAAAATTGATTTAACATAACTGTGTTAGATTGTTTCAAATAGTCCCCAGTGAATCATGCCTCCCTGAGTACCCACCCCTTTGCTCTATGATTTTGCCACTCCTCACATCAAGAGGTGGAATGTATTTCCCTTGAATCTAACTGGCCTTGTGACTTTCTTTGGCCAATCAAATGTAGTGGAAATGATATTCTGGAGTTTTTGAGCCTATATCTTAAAAGTAGCCTTAGAGCTTCTGCTCCTGCTCTTTGGAACCCGGCAACTCAACTAAGTAAAGGCTATCCTGCTGGAGAGAGAAGTCATGTGAGTAGTCAGGACCAAGAAAATGAGAGACCATGTGAAGAGAGAGGACACACAGAGGAGAACGGAGGCATCACAGCTATCAGCCAGCACCAAGACCCGGATCTGGGAGTGAAGCTATTTTGATTTCTCCAGTGCCAGTCACATTGTCCCAGGCTTCTCCACTGAGTTCTGCCAGAATTCCTAGTCCACAGAATCGGCAACAAATGATGGTTGCTTTAAGCCACTGAGTTTTGTGGTAGTTGTTATACAGCAATGGTGACTGAAATAATACCATTCAGCTAAAAATCTTGGCATCAATTTATATATTGTTTACACCTAGAAAATGAGAAAATGTCAGGAACATAATATGTAGTGACCATTTGAATAAAAGTACAAAAGCAAAACATTCCCTGTTAAAAAGACCAAATTTAGGTATTTAAGCAAAACTTAATGAACTTACTTTCCATGCAGGCATCAATCACACATATTCATTTAAAAAATTAAGCTTTATGATTCTGGCACCTAGATTTGTTACATAGCATTAAATTAATTTCACAAAGGTATATGTAAAAATGCACAGTAACAGAATAGATAATTTAAAACAATGTTCTGCTAAAATGACTATTATGACTCATAGCAAAGAAAAATTAAGTATATTGTAAACACATCTGCCATGCAAACTAATTATTAAAGTGATCTAAATTTTTCTCAGTATATAGGTCTTTATCTAAATAATTCATAGTATACTTAACAACTATTGAATCTTTCTCATCTCAAGTCCTGTACAAGTAGTGTAGGTCCAGGTCATCCCACATAGCTGACATTATGAGAAATAGATACCATTAGTAACAAAAAAACACACAGTTTAAAATAAAAGTGTGCATTTATTGTATTCTCCCAATTCTACTCCACGTCAATAACTGGCACTTATTTCAGAAATCAATCTAACATAGGATTCTTCTTGAATACATTAAAATCATTCTCCAAAAAGGAAACTACTACTAGAGACCACTGTTGTTCTAAAATAAGTTTCCTCAAAATTTAAGGCAGTAAAAGTAAGCACTCATAAGCATAATACGATGCATACTTTTTTAAAGTCACCCAAACATTTTATTTTATTCTCATCATAGGTATATATCCATCTTATAGATTAAAAAGCAAGAGGTTGTATAGTTGAGAAAAGTGCTCACTGTCACTATAATAACAATGTTTTTTACATTGTAAACCCAAGTTTCCTAAAAGTTAAGCAAATGTCTAATGTCTGATTTGTGTATTATTATAAATGGAGATCACAACATGAAGTCAGTACTGCAGAACAGGGGCTGTGGACACAACACTGGTCCATATCTATTAAAGCCTAAATTTCACAAAAATCTTACAGATACCTGTTAGATTCCTTTCATTTTTCCTGAAAAGTAAAATAATAGCTTCTTTTTAAGGAAAACCATTATTTTTATGATACCTTAACCTATAAAAAATTGGAATAGATATTGAACAAAAATGATGCCCAGAATCTAACATGTCCTTTAAAGACTTCTGGTGAAAATGGTAGTATAAGTAAACATGGTACTCAAATCCACACCAAAATTACAACTGAACCATGGAACAACCATCATTCAGGACCATCTGAAGTCTAGCCAAATGGAAGTCCTCCAACTAAGGATATAAGGAAGAAGCCAGGGAAAAAAATTAGTTAGTCTAGAAAGCTTTTAAGAATCTATCCCTGAAACTTCCAGCTAAATGGAGGTATAGGTAGATATACTTTGCCTCCTCACAAAACCAAAAGGACAACAACAAATTTAAAATAAAAGAATAATCAGAACTGCCAGTAAATCAACTGTGTGGTCCCAGTTGATTTACTGGTTGTCACCTATAAATTCAACAACCAAGGAGTTAAAGACGAAACATTCATTCAGACAGATAGGAAGGGCAGAACAGGCAGCCAGGATGGAGAGGACTTGCAGCAAGGCAGTGACTCGAGGTCAGGGCAAGGCATTGTGTGACAGAACAGGCAGGCCCACATTTGCATGCAGATAAACTGGGAGGAACAACTGGGGAATGAGACAGACTGAGCAACCAAGGGTTCTAGCATGGGGGAAATAAAGCCTCAAAACCTCTGACTTAAAAAACCTGTGGGGGTTGTGGCAGCAGGAGAAACTCCCAGCCCCCCAAGTAAGCTCCTTGGAGAGACCCATGGGATCCAGGAATATACACAAAACCACCCACACAGGACTCAGCAGCAGAAGGGCCTAATTTGCTTGTGGGTCATGAAGGAAGTGACTGAAAGCCAGTGCAGAGCTGAGCAAGCAGCGCTGTTCCTTCTCAGACCCCTCCCCCATATACAGTGCCATAACGCAGCAATGTGTGTTGCCCTGCCCTGGCGAATACCTAAGGCTTAATCAACCCCTTACTGCATAACAGGAGTGCTAAGACAAAAAATGTGGTCTAAATGAAAAAACATATCAAAGCTCTAGGAAAAAATACAACTAAGCAATGAAGAGACAGTCAACCTATCAGATGCACAGTTCAAAACAATGGTAATCAGGAAGCTCACAGAAATGGTTGAGTATGGTCACAAAATAGAGGAAAAAGTGAAGGCTTGCAAAAGTGAAATAAAGGAAAATGTAAAGGGAACCAACAGTGATGGGAAGGAAACCAGAACTCACATCAACAATTTGCAGCAGAAGGAAGAAATAAACATTCAACCAAAACAGAATAAAGAAACAAAATTTCAAAAGAATGAGGAGAGGCTTATGAACCTCCGGGACAACTTTAAACATTCCAACATCTGAATCACAGGGGTGCCAGAAGGAGAAGAGGAAGAGCAAGAAACTATAAACTTGTTTGAAAACATAATGAAGAAGATCTTCCCTAATTTGACAAAGCAAACAGAATTCCGGGAAGTCCAGAGGGTCCAAAAAAAGTTAGAGCCAAGGAAGCACACACCAAGGCACATCATTATTACAATACCCAAGATTAAAGATAAGGAGAGAATCTTGAAAGCAGCAAAAGGAGACAGTTACCTCCAAAAAAAGTGTGCATAAGACTGTCAGCTAATTTCTCAAAAGAAAACTTACAGGAAAGAAGGGGCTAGAAGGAAATATTCAAAGTCATGAAAGGCAAGGACCCACATTCAAGATTACTCTATCCAGAAAAGCTATCATTTATAATGGAAGGGCAGAGAAAGTGCTTCCCAGATAAGGTTGAGTTAAAGGAGTTCATCATCACCAAGCCCTTATTATGTGAAATGTTAAAGGGACTTACCTAAGAAAAAGAAGACCAAAATTACAAACAGTAAAATGACAATAAACTCACAACTATCAACAACTGAACCTAAAACAACTACGAGAAAAACAAACTAAGCAAACAACTAGAACAGGAACAGATTCACAGAAATAGAGATCACATGGCGGGTTATCAGTGGGGAGAATGAGGGAAAGGTACAGGGAATAAGAAGCTACAAAATAGAAAGAGGGAGGTTAAGAATAGTATAGAAAATGTAGAAGCCAAAGAACTTATACATATGACTCATGGACATGAACTAAGGTGGGGAATGCTGGTGGAAGGGGAGATACAGGGCAGAGGGGAATAAAGGGGAGAAAAATGGGAACTATAATTTCCCAGACATGAAATGGGAACTATAATTCACCAGACATGAAATGATGTGGTCCTACACCCACATCTGACACATAAAAATAAGAGTATCTAGGCTGTGAATGCCCCCCGAAGGAATGAGGGGGTCCAGACTCACTCCTTAGGCCCTCCTCCCCCAGAGTTCCAGAGCTAGGAAAGAGAAGTCCCCATAAGATCTGACTGTAAAAATTGGCAGGGATTGTGGCTGAGGGAGACAGACTCCCAGGCAGTTCTTCTTAAAGAGCCAGCATACAAACATACTTAACTCAGTCCCTCTGAGCTCCATTGCTAGCACAGCAGCTTAAAAGGAACTAGGGACATTGAGGGAATAACTGAATTGTCTGGCATCAGAGCGAGAGCTGGGTGAGATAGCTTTCTCAAAGACAGAAGTGCTGGGAAAGGTCATTCCTTTCTATGATGCCCCTGCCCCCACAGAGCCAGCAGGCAGACACCAAATCTGAGTCTCCATCAGTCTGACTCACACTGTTCACTCTGCTCTGGTGATTTCCTGAGACCCCCCCACCCACCCACCCAACTCATGGGCCCTCACAAGCTATTTCCAGTGGCTTTTCCACACAAATGGCCTGTCTTGGCCCATGCTTCAGATTTTTCTAAAAATCTCTCAAACAAACAGCATCTAGTCTCAGCAAGCTCCATACCTTTTGCTAAATGGGCCCAGTGCTGCCATTAGCTTCAGCTAGCCTTGGTTCATAGCTTGGCTTCACCTAGGCACCCCTAAGCCCAACACAAGTGTCAATCCTCTGCAGATCACTTTGTAGCTCATGTCAGGTGGCCTGGGCAGAACACAGGCAGCAGCTGATCATGGCCTGCACCTCCTGGGAGATCCCAAAGCCAGAGCACCCAGTGAGCAGTTTCAGATCACATCAAGGCACCTAGCCCTAACCCAACCACCTCCGAAAGTAGTACACTCAAAGGGTGGATTCAGAGGGCACCAAAGTCCTGCTGAAGTAAGCCCTGTTCTGTGGGGTTGGCCCCTGCCCAGCTGATTGTTGGGGACTACTCTGTGTAGTTTCCAAGACTGCAGCCCCATGAGAGCAAGCCCTAAAAGGGGCTAGTAAGTCTCCCTGGAAAACCAGGTAAAAACACAGGTGGCAAGCATGACTCTACTCTAACACCAAGGGTCCCCATGGGAACCAGGCCTGATAAATACACTGTATCCTTTGAAGCTTGCTCTGCTTTGTTTTGTATAGCCCTGGGGATATAAACTGAGTGTTTAAGTTCAAGGCATAAGGAGTAAACTCCTTATCTCATGAAATACATCTTAAGGACCCTCTGGAGTCAGCATGACTAATGAATGCTGACCTATGACAAATCTCTGTGTTCCTTCTATTATCTATAGATAATACCTGTTTTGTATGACTATAGCCTTTTGACATTGATTGATGAGCTATGCATGTATACACCTACATGTACCATTCCCAATAGAAGCAACTGGGGAGAAGGGCTCGGGGTGTTCTCCACTACAGGTAATTGCCACCCCCTTTCCTGCCAGAACAGCAGGATTGTGTCTGGGAGGACTTATTTACTATCCGAGCCGGGAAGACCATGCTACTGGATGGAGTTCCTCCCACAGCTGATCCTCTGGGGTTGTTGCAGCCAGTCCTCATAGCCAATTGGCCTGGGGGTAAATCTCTCCCATTGATGTGCCAATATCAATAAAGGTTCAACTACAACAGAAGGGTGCACACATCCCACATGGGTGGGGACATAACTGGAGCATCCAGCTTGGGTGACTAGGGAGGCCATGCCACTGTACCCCACAGGATACTTACTACATAAGCCCACTCTTCTAAGCCCAGTAGACATAGCAGCTTCAGCTCTATTAGCTGAATAGAACCTAATATGTGGAGGTTGCCAAAATGTGTAGACAAAGATACATGTACCAAAGGGAAGAACAGAACAAAACACCAGAAAATAAACAAAATAGAGACAAGCAATATATCAGATGCAGAGTTAAAAACACTGTATAAGGACCCTCGATGAGTTTAGCAAAAAGATAGAAAACATAAAACTGGAGATAGAAAACATAAAAAAGAATCAGTCAGAAATGAAGAATATATGAATGGAAATGAAGAATACACTATAGGGAATCAACAGTGGAGTAGATAAAACACAGAGGATGAAATCAGCAATTTGGAAGATAAGGAAGCAGAAAACACCCAATTAGAACAGTAAAAAAGAAAAAATATATTAAAAAATGAGGAGAGTATAAGGAGCTTCTGGGACAACTTCAAGCACACCAATATTTGCATTGTGGGAATCCTAGAAGGAGAAGAGAGAGAGCAAGATATCAAAAATCTATTTGACTGCCCTGACTGGTGTAGCTCAGTGGATTGAGCACGGGCCTGCAAACCACACAATTGCGGTTCGATTCCCAGTCAGGGCACATGCCTGGGTTGCAGGCCGGTTCCCTGCAGGCCAGTTCCCAGCAGGGGATGCATGAAAGGCAACCATACATTGATGTTTCTCTCCCTCTCTCCTTTCCTTCCCCTCTAAAGATAAATAAAATAAAAAATAAAATCTTTAAAAAAAATCTATTTGAAGAAATAATGACAGAAAGCTTCCCTAACCAGGTGCAGAAAATAGACATACAAGTCCAGGAATTGCAGAGCCCAATACAAGATGAACCCAAAGAGGTCCACACTGAGACAAATAATAATTAAAATGCAAAAGTTCGAGACAAAGAGAGAACCTTAAAAGCAGTTAGTTATCTCCAAGAGACAAGACTGTCTGCTGATTTCTCAACAAAAACTCTGTGGGCTAGAAGGGAGTGGCAAAAAAATACTCAAAGTGATATAAAGCAAAGACCTACAACCAAGATTATTCTACCTAGCAAAGCTATCATTTAGAGTTGAAGGACATACAGGATGAAGCAAAATTAGGTTTATAGTTGTGATTATGCAAAACAGAGTTTATTCTTGTATTATTATTTATCATTTATTATATTATTTTCCATATGAACTGTAAATCTATTTTTTACCCACCCTGTATAAAGAGTTTCTCAGAAAGGAAAAGCTAAAGGAATTCATCACCACCAGACTAGCATTACATGAAATGTACATGATTTTAGGAATTGTATCTCTACCCCTTGTGGCTACTGGAGAGAGACAACCTTTGGAATGCCAGCTGCAGGAGACAAAGCCTGTCTCTGGTAGCAAACACTGCCTCAGTTTCCTCTCCCTGCCCCCAAAGCTTGGTCAGAAGTCAGTGACGGGTAAGACCCCTCACAGGGGGGGCAACTTAAGACAGACTTGATCACTTGGGAGGCCTTCATGGAAGGACTTGGGGAGCTGCAAAAAAGAGCAATGGACTTTCGCCCCCTGGCTTTGACAAAGCCCGAGTCCCCACGTCTTCTGGGAGAAACGCTTCCTGGCTCTAATCCCCTGAAGCCTTGCCTTGCTAGAGCCTGCCCTAGGGAAAAATCTGGCATCACAAAGACTTGCTGATTACCTGTGAAATCTGCTCTGCTAAGAGTGCTTTCATTCATATGATAAGGGTCTGAGAGGAAATGACTGTCTCCCAAAATTTCTGCAACTCTCTTCCTGACAGACACTGACTCAGTCTCTGAAGCCCTCAGATTTCTTTGAAATGTTATCTACTGTTTGATCCTTGCCGCCCTGTATTCCTGTGTATTACAACTCAATAAAAGGCTATGGAAGAGGGTGCTTGGGGCCTTTTTCTACTCGGAGAAACTGGCCGCTGCTGGCCTTTGTCTCCCCTGAGAAACTGGCCACAGCCCACTCCTCCTCCCCAAACAGACCCAGCATGTCTCTGCCATATTTATTCATTCACACGTGTCCGTGCACTGGGGGGACTCATGGAGAAGTCGCTCCCACAAAGAAGAGCAAGACAGGAAATTAGGAAAGAAATAGAAATTAATTTTTTAGAGGTCAAAATTTCTCCAAATCCTCAGATGGTTTCACTAGTAATTGAATCATTTTACTTTCTCTTATTTGAAGAAGGTTTGGAGACTTTTTATTTTAAAATGTGACAGGAAATTAAAGTGAAAACTGAATGTTTGAAGAGGTAGGCATACACAGCAATCACCATCTCCTCTCCATTTTACTCACCGCCAAATCTGCGTGTCCTTCCATATTCATGATCCCTGTCAATGGGAAAACTATTCATCCGTCTTCTGAACCAGAATCCCTCTCCACACTCTTCTTATCTAATCTGTCGTCGAATCCCATACAGCAACTTTTTAAATATTTCTTGTAACTGCCCGCTCTTCTGGCTCCATTCCTTCAGTCCATGTTGTGGTCTCCTAGAAGATCTCGGATCCATGAGTTTAATATTTTTACTTCCACCCAGCTGTCATGATGATCTTTCTAAAATAAAATGTTGATATGATATTCTACTTAAAATCCTTCAATGACACCTCATAGCTTTCAGAGAAGTTTAAACTCAGGGATCCTACCTGATTTTCTAGCTTCATCCTGAGGGCCCCAAACATACACACTTTTTTTCCCAGGCAAACCAAATAATAGGTACCATGCTCCATGCCATGCTGTTCCCTCTGCCAACCAACTTACCTATGTGATTGTCACTTGACTTTTAAATTTTGTTTCACATGCAATCATCTCTTCTAGAACGCCTTGTTTAATCCCTCAGCCTGATTTCTGTGTCTCTCTTCATGGCCCCCATCTGTTTGTTTCAGGTCTACAACATAATCATGGTCTGAAGCGGATTTGGGAAGAGCCAGGCAGGCAATTGTCCAGGATACCAATCTTTAAGAAAATATACATTGTTAGAAATATTGCAGAGAGAAAAAATGTGCTTATCAAACACTACATGTGGTTAGAAGGATTATTTTGACGAGCTTCTAGGAATCAGTTGAGCCAAGAACATGCTTGAAGAGCAATAAATGACTTTTAAACTGCTTTCCAAAGAGAGTGAGTTTGGTTGGCTTTTGTGTTTCTGTTTTGCTAGTTAGGGTACACAGGTTCAGAGTAACAGCTGAGCTGCTTAAGGCATCACAGAGAGGGTATCTTTCGCAATGAAGGTCCTTCTCCATTCTTCCTTGCACTGATTACGGTGCGGTGGTCTTTGTAAAATTCCGGTCTCTCCTCTCACCCCTCCAACAATGGAACAAATATTAAAGAACATCAGTTTGAAGGGGGATCAAGTATCTAATTATTTTTTTCAGAAGCACACCATGTTTCTCTATGGTCCCAATTATTTATCAGATGATCTTGTAATAAGTCAAATTACATGTCCAAATTTTCCATAAGCTTCCCAAGGACTGAGACTATGATCTTTTTCTTTTGTAACAAATCTGAAAAAGGGATGCATTCACCCAAAGTGTGTGACCTTGAAGTATAATGAACTGACACTCCAAGTTCAAGAGTTACCAGTATATATGTAGCACTGTCTAGAGAAGGATGACTCAAATCAAATAGATAAGAATATACTGTTCCCTAAAGAGGCATTCTTTATGGTGGAGTAAGTGTAAATAATTGTGAGTGAAATATCCTTTAAAACTAGCCTTCTCTCTTTGGTTTGAGTTCATGTTTATGGAGAAAACTGAATGCTCATTTGTTAGATATTTTTATATAATAGCTGGATAAAAAGTCTCGGGGGGAAAATCTATAAACACTGGAACAATATATGAACTATTATAAGTCAATAAATTTACATTCTAGTTTATAAGTGTGATTAGCAAGAGATGGGATCTCTAAATCTGATCAACTATGTGTACATGAGCAAAATTTAATATCTGGACTTCTCACTCTAGTAAGGGCACTACTACCCCTTCTGAGGTCTTGTGAAAATAAAATAATATAAATGTTATTATTTTCAAAATTATAAAGCTCTTACACATATATTTTCCTCTTTGACAAGAATGACCCGCATATTTCAAAGAATGTTTTAGCTTTTATTTTCTCTCTAAAATTTCATTTCATTTTGGTACACTTTTGGTCAGTATTTTATGGTCTTGACCTGATTTAAACTAATATTTTCCTTCTTTCTGCTGCCAGTAAAATATTGTCATTCTTAACTTTTCTCAAGAGAAAGATGTTCTGTATTTCTTCATGGTAAGCTTCAGCACTGAAGGGGAACGGGGGTGCCTTTGACCTGATGACTATTTTTCTGGAAAATATACAAAACACTATGAAAAAAAATGCTATTAGGGTCTTTTAGAATTAAGTGTGTTGCTTTAATAGAAAAGAGCCCTACACAGATGTAGCATTTACAAGAAATGATGTATTTTTGAGAATGACCCAGGGTGATTTTGCAGTTGTTTAAATATTACATCAAGCAGATTGGAAACTTCAGAAAAAAATAATAGCAAGGGTAAGTAAAATTATTTTCTAAAAACTTCTGCAACTTGCATTGAGCCTTGTAAAATTCAAAATAAATATAAATAATCTTAAATTATGTTAAACTGGGATATTGAATCATGCCACTCAATGCATGAGGTAAATCTGTTTTGGAATTCAAAAATTTTCAAATTTTAGAAAGGTAATACCAAGTATTGCCATATGAGGTCTGTCCAGAAGGTATCCAATCCTGCAATATGAAAAATAGAGACATTTATTGAAGAGATACAAGACACAAGAAACATTATACACAGGAAAATGATGCCTCAGTTTCTTCAAAGTAGGTACCTTGGGACCTCACACAGTTCTCCCAGTCACCATCATTTGTCCCGTCATATTTTCCCAAATGTCACCAATGGTCTGAAATCTCTTCCCTTTCAGAGGTGGTTTTAGTTTGGGGAAAAGCAAGAAGTCACAGGGTACCAAATCGGGACTACAGTGGGGCTTAGTCAGGGGTGATTTGATGTTTTGCCAAAAAACTCTGCATGAATGTGATGCATGAACAGGCACATTGTCATGATGAAGCTGCAAATCACAAGTTACCCATAACTGTGGCCTTCTGAATCATCTGAATAATTTCTGTGGAGGAATGTTCAAACTTAATGCAAAATTTGATGTAGTTTTGTTGCTCTACTCAATCATTTTAAATGTGACAGCCACACAGTACTCATGTTCATTCAATGGCATCTACCACCTCCACTGACTACTACAGTGAGGTCATCATTGTTCATGCATGTGCATTCCAGTCCACTCTCCTTGGCTGCTAGGTTACATAGATGTCATGCAAACTGTTCTCGTTATATTAACAATAGCTGAATTTTTTTCTGGATAGGCCTCACATATTCAGTGCAGTAGTAGCAAATGGCTCTTTGAAAAAGGACTACGTGTATTCATAGATTTATTATGACTTTTGCTGATTAAGTAATATACGACAAAATTATAAATAATAAAATTACAATACTCTTCCCTGACATTTTATATAACTAATCAATTTTCACAGAATACATTAATTTTTGCCTCTTACATGTATAGCTAACCAATGGTTATGATTGATGAAGGAATGTAATTCAGTCATGAATATGTGTTGATATTTTCCCAATTTTTAAAAATTTTGTGGGGACTATTAGTTCTTTTTCTAGCTTCTTTAATTTTTCATTTATTTTCATATGTATGTATACATATGAGTATAGATAGATACAGGCATATAAATATACATATATACACACATATTAAATGTATTTTAGGCCTTACATCTCAAAGTTTACTGTAGCTGCATATATACAAATTTTGTGTTGTACACTCATTTTCTAGTTTTTATTTGACTCTCAAATAGGTTGGCCTTAATTATTTCTTGATTACTAGAAAAAAATTATGTAGAGTCACTATTTTTTGGTCCAATAAACCTCTCCACATTCCCCAGCCTATATTTACCTATTCCAACATTTTTGAAGTGTATCCAGCAAAATATTTTAAGTTTTATTTCAATTAACAAATAAGTTAGGGAAGATATTATTAAACCAAGTTGAACAAATTTTCTTAAAGCAGTATTAATATGCTAATATATAGTAAATCTATAAAACAGAGAATAGGATATGGTATTTCCTAAAACTATTTGACCACATTTTTTTCTTTGCTAAAATATTAGAGTTCGCAGAACAATTTAGAGATAGTAACTGCTCTATAGCACTTGATGTCAATATCACAAATGCTACCTATAATTATCATTTAGCATTGTATTAGACAGGGTTCTTAACTGAAAATAATAGAAGTTGGTCTAAATACATTTAAGCTTAAAATACATTTATTAAAAGGAAAAGAGACCAAAGAATCTCCAAAAAAGCCAGAAAATCAACTAGAGGCTAGCACCAGAAACAAGACCCAGGTCACATCAGTGGCTGAGTGATTGATAAGTGACTGTTGATTTATTCTAGGGAGAGATGTCAGATGCTGGCTTACCAATAAAGGTGATGACAGAAATATGACACTGAAAACAGGGAGAGGTTCCATAATGAAAAATCTAAATTTTGAAAAAAACCCATAGCCTTTCTTTTTATATACCATGTATACTTCCCTACAGGATTCCTTTTCAGGAAATCTAACCAGGCCAAAAGAAAAGGCCCTGTAGCTAGAGTTTAAGAATATCCATTACAATGACCCAGTCAGGTCATCTCAGTGTGACATCCAATAATTGACAAGTTTCATCAAGGAAGTATTTTCTAATCAGTTTCTTACTACTTGAAAATTAAACATGAATGTTTAATTCATGTTTATTCATGAATGAGAGAGAAGGATCACCAAACTTAAGAAATGTATTGACAGGACTTCTGGTCAAGATGGAAACATTGTAAATATGGTACTTGAATCCTCTCACATCCACATCAAATTTACAACTAAACTACAGAACAACCATCATTCAGAACTACATGAAATCTAATCGAATAGAAGTCCTACAACTAGGGATTTAAAGAAGAAACCATGTCAAAACTGGGAGAAGAAGTGGAGATACAGAATGGAATGGTTTCACACCCATGTGTGGCTGTTAAAAATCAAGAGAGAGATCTCAGCTACAAAGGTACTCCCTTAGGAGCGAGGGGTCCCAACCAGGTCCCCCAGCACAGGGTTCCAGAGCCAGGAAGAGAAGTCCCATAACTTCTGACTATAAAAACCAGCAGGGAGTGCGGCTGAATGAGACAAAAGCTGCTGGAATACCAGGCAGTTCTTCTTAAAGGGCCCGCACAGACTTACTTGGATTCACTCCCTCTAAACTCCAGTGCTGGGGTAGCAGCTTGAAAGGTACCAGGAATGACATATGGGAAGGAGCTGAATTATCTGGCATCAGGGCAAGAGCTGGGGGGGACAGCTTTCTGCCAGACAGAAATGCTGGCAGAGGCCATTGTTTCTTTTATGAGACCCTCTCCCCATAGAGCTCGCAGGCAGGTGCCATATCTGAGTATTCATCAACCTGTCTTACAGTGTTCACCCCACCCAACTTGCAGGCCTACCCAAGCCATTTCCAGTGGCTTTTCCATACAAACTGCTTATCTCACATTCTGCTGCAGACTTCCCTAAAATCTCTCAAAGCTAACAAATTGCAAACAAGCAGCATCTGGCCTTGGCATGCCCCATACCTTCCATTAATGGCACCAGGCCTGGCACTAGATGCAGCTGGCCTTTGTTCTCATCTTGGCCTCTCCTGAGACCTCTAAGCCCAGCACAAGTACCAACCGTCTTCAGATCACTCCATAGCTCCTACCTAATGGTGCCAGGCAGGGCACAGGCAGTGGCTGACCTTGCATCTCCCAGGAGGCCCCAGAGCCCATTCACCCAGTGGACAGCTACAGACCACACCAGATTACAAGTCTTATCATCTCCACAAGTAACACGCTCAAGGGGCAGACTTGGTGAAGACAAATACCCAAGTAAAGCAAATCCTGGTCTAGAGATTGGCTTCTACATAGCAGCTACTTTGCTGCATCACAGCCGATAGGCCTGGGGGTCAATCCCTTCCAGTGATACCAACAGCAATCAACTATAACAAACTAGTGACACAGTTTACACAGAGGTGTTACTGGAGCAACCACTCAGGTAACTGAGGAGGCTGAGCCACTGGACCCTACAGGACACTTACTACACAAGACCACTATTCCAAGTCCAGGGGATGCAGCAACTCTATCTAACACATAGAAACAAGCAATCAAGTTTCAACTATAACAAACCAGTGCACACAGCCCACACAGAGGTGTCGCTGGAGTGCCAATATGAAAAACAGTACAGCAGTTCCTCAAAAGTTTAAAAATTATATGATCCTGTATCTCCACTTCTGGGTATATATTCAGAAGAACTGAAAGCAGGGTCTTGAGGAGATATTTGTACATTCAAGTTTGCAGCAACATTACTTACAATAGCTAAAATGTAGAGACAACCCAAACAACTAACAAGGGGTGAAGAGATTTAAAAAATGCAGTACGACGTGAATAGAAACTTGAGGACCTTGTGCCTGTGAAATAAGCCAGTCACAAGACATACTGTACGATTCCACTAATATGAGATATTAGAGCAGCCAAATTCATAGGAACCATAATAAAGCAGTTATTTTACAAAAACCCCATAAAGATGCCATTAAACTTATTAGATGGTATTAAATTGACTAATTTTAGGACTCATTCACCAAATATGAGAATTTATGTAAAATAATTCATTTTGAATTAATTTAAAATTATATATAAATTTCCTTAATATTTATGAATGAAATTTAATCAGCCATTAGCAACTCTGCATTTTGTAGGCCACTAAAAATCTCAATGACATCTATGATAATAAGTGAAAGTGTTGCATCTGCACAGTAATTTCAGTGCAGCAACATCTCAAGACAACTGGAATTGCCAGTTAGATGAAAAAAGCCTCAAGAAACCAGAAAGTTTGGAAAGAAAAATAGCTAAAATGACCAATGAAGCTTTCTCTAGGAAACAAGCTCAAATTTTGTGTGGAAGTCTTCAAGTCAAAATACCACCAATGTATGAAGTTTGATTTTTTTAATTTTAGAGAGGAAAAGGGAGAGGGAGAGGGGGAAACACTAACCTGTTGTTTCACATATGCATGCATTCATTGGTTGTTGATTCTTGTAGATGTCCTGACCAGGGATCAACCCACAGCCTTGGCGTATCAAAACAATGCTCAACCACCTGAGCTACCTGGCAAGGGCCTGATTTCGTGTCTTTGACAGGTTCCTTCCCCAGGACAGGGGCAACTTCCTTGGCTTTTTTTTTTTTTTTTTTGAAATCAGAAGAGATTCTAACTTTGATTTTGAAGGAGGCTATTTGTTTTCAAAGCTTCAGAGATAAAACTAAAGATTTTTGTGATTGTGCAGTACACAGGTGGGGCCCAAACAAGTAACTGTTGCATAGATTTAATTCATGTTCCTTGATTTGGGACAAAAACATTTATGTTTCTATGGGTTGAGATTCATAGCTTTTTTTTTTTTACAAACATTAAGTAGTCTGAATTATAAAATGTTTATAAATGATTTAATGGATTGAGACAGTATTTTCCATAAATGACTATTTTTAAAAGTGAATTGCTATTAAAATCCAACAAAAACTCATACAAAGCAAGTTACTGCCTTCAAAACTCAATTTTTAAATTATTTATTTATTTATCTTTAGAGGGGAAAGGAAGGAGAGAGGGAAAGAAATATCAATGTATGGTTGCCTCTCGAGTGTGTCCCTACTGGGAACTGGCCTGCAACCCAGGCATGTACCCTGACTGAGAATCGAACTGCAATCCTCTAGTTCACAGGCCTGCGCTCAATCCACTGAGCTACAGTAGCCAGGGCTCAAAACTCTTATTTTGATGGAAACATATTTTACAATTTGTACTAATACATAATTGAAACTAATTTCTTCAAAAATCTTACGAATTCACATTATAAAATAATTTCAAAGATAGTGAGAGCCAGAAATTATAACTATATCCTGAAAATTGATAATTTTCATTTCATAAACCATACATCTTCATCTGAATGCAAAGAAATCAAATATATTTTTACATATCACTAGAATCACAAATGTTCGGAAGCCCATATTCATTAGGCCTCAACACAAATTTAATAAAACAGTATATATATTGAGTACAAGAACAGATAAAAATTAGACAATCTAAATATCCATTAACTGGTAAACTGATATGTTGTCCTACTCACACAATAAAATATCACATAGTAATAAAAATTAATGAACTGTGGCTTCACTCATTTGCATGAATGGGTTTTCAAGTTTTTCATCAAAATGTGATGGAAACATACATACAATGGTTCTATTTATATAAAATTCAAAAAGAGGCAAACGAAGTAATGCAAAACTATAAATACAAACAAGGCAGTGATGAATAGAAATTCTAGGATAGTGGTACCTCTAGGCGAGAGAAGAGAATGTAATTTAAGAGGGGCCACAGTGAGTATCAAAGTTATACATAATGTTCTATTCTTAAGGAGAGGCCATGACCACATGTGTATTATTCATCCTTAAACATATACCTTGTACATAACCTGGAGATAATGAGTAAAACGTAGAGACCTGTATGAGACAACCCTTTTTGAAGATTATATGGAGAAGATATCTGGACATTGAGATTTTCTTTTGCTCTTATGCTTTTTTCAGATAGGAAAAGACGACATCTGAATGCCGTAGCAAAAAAGGTTCCATCAGAGAGAAGTTGAAGAAATGGGAAAGGACACAACTGATGAAGTAAGTTACTCGAATGCTACAAAGGACAGAGTCCAAGGCACTCCTGAAGAGGTCCGCCTCTAAAAGGAAGATGAATTTGACCTAATTTCAAAGTAGAATAGGAAAGGATAGAAACAGGTGCAGCAGACTTACTACATTTGGTGATGGGAAACCAAGGTATGTCATATCTGATGGCTTGTTCCTCCTCTTGAATGAGGCACTATCATTAACTGAGAGGGAAGGACAAGAGCTGGTTTTGGGAAAAAGTGCAAGTGTGTTAAGAGAACAAACTGACCACACATAAATGCAGGTGCTTTCTCAGACATTTCACCTTACCTATTTCCCTGGTCTCTGTCTAGAATACATTTCCTCCTCCTCTCAGAAAGTTTCCCAATGCTTCAAGACTCACCTCACGTTCTTTCCTCTGAAACCTATCCCATAGTAATATTTTCCTTAATTACAATACTTGAATGTATCACTGTTTCACTTATGGACTGTCTTGCATTAACTGCGTTGTACATGATTTGATTTTTAAGTGTTGTCTCCCTAACTACAGTTCTTGAGGGCAGAAACGACTTTTGTGCATCTGTCCCTCCCTCTTTCAGAAAGTGTATTCTTATGTATATATCGAACATTTAGATGTATTTTATAAATGTCAACTCCTGGGACAAAAATCCTTAAAAGCAAATCATAAAATAACTAAAAATGAACTTTGAAACCTCATTATTTTCTTACAAGTGCTCCTGGTTTTCAATTTTTGGTTTTAGAACTTACTTTTTAGAAGACAGAGAGCCAAGGTTAATACGTAATTGGTTTGCATTTTTAAAATTTTAAACAAAGTATTCATGCTCATTAAACTACTGGTTTTCCAAGTAACTTTTAATTTTTTTCATGGAGATGGTTCTCCTGGAAAATGAGGTAAAATATTATCAGCAATGACAAGTCATGTTAGGAATGCCATCTTGTGGCTGAGAGTAGTCCATTACACTAACATGTCCTTTCAATGACAATCTTCTTTTTTTCTTTTATTGAGAGAGAGAGAGAACTGATTTGTTGACCCACTTATTTATGCATTCATTGGTTGATACTTGTACGTCCCCTGACCAGGGATCAAACCTCAACCTTGGCATATTTGGATGACACTCTAACCAACTGAGCTACTTGGCCAGGGCTCAGTGATAATCTTTAATTCAGAAAAAAATAATCCAATAAATTCATAAATGTCTCATTAAAATGCAGTTACTACAAAGAATTAACATATGCATCAGTTGTGTATGGTTTTAGTTGTCAAAAAAGACCATGTTCATTGTAAACAGAGACAATTAATATACAGGAAAACTGCTACCTATAAACATACTTCTATTAAAACTACTCACACACTGAATTTTGAAAATTTATTCTCTTGAAATAATTTTATTTCTGAATCTTGATTTTCAAACTATATACTGTAACTATAAACATCCAAATGGGAGTGAAGGACAGAGTACTTATCTAATTTGGATGGTGTAGCATACACACAATTATTTGAACCCAAATGAATTCTAAATAAAGTTAAAAACACTGACTCAATTTTAATAGATGAGCTTACTGCTTCACACATACAAGTCAGCCATTTGAGTGGTAAATTATCTTTCTCATCAACAGAGAACCAGTAATAATTAGATGTAGTAGTAAGCAACTGTGCTTAAATATTTCAATTGCCAAACTGAATACCAGACATTTTGGTCCACCTAAAAGTGGGGGTAAGGAAGTAGAAACCGATATATCCAAACACAGCAGAACAGCACAAGGCTCCACGCACAATGCTTCCTTTTTGTCACTTCCAGGTTAATGGTTCACAGAGCATGTGCAAGGTCCAAAGTTCAGTTGTAGAGATTAGGCTATTGAACTTCCAAAAGATAACAATACAGACATAGGTATTTAAATTTAAAATGCTATTGTACTCCAAATCAACTTTTGTGATTTATTACTGCATGCTTATTACCAGAAACAAATATTTTACTCAGAAAACTTTTATATGAATTGATTTTGTATTAGTTTTTCCACATGACTCTTCAGGACATTCACATCAGCTGGGCAGACCTGGAACTCCATCTTCTCTTGCTGTTTTGTTCTCTCTAGTAAAATCTCGTGTGGTGGAGGCAAAGCATTGTATGAACTCAATAAATAAAGTTGGCTTGATGAAGTTTGGTTGATGTCTTGAATCTTTAAAGCCTGCATGACAGCAGGTGCAAACTTTGAGTAATGGGCTGTAGATGAGATGATCACTGGACAAGTCTTGTCTTGCATTCTGTCCGCAACCACTTTCGCAACAGCAGTGTGGGGGTCCAGAATATACCCTGAAGTATTGTAGGTGGAGTGAATAGCTGCTAGGCACTCCCCCTCAGAGCACCAATCAGCTACAAAATCCTGTTGAAGTTTCTCAACTAGAATCTTTTCTATCTGGAAGTGATGCTGCTCTTCTAATTGATTAAATAATTTTGTCATTAATTGTCCATCTTTATTAGCTATCAAGTGTAAGTGTCGTTCCAGGTTTGAAGATTTGAGAATATCTATTGCTGGTGAAAAGGTCTGTGCTAATTTTCTTTCCCTTAGATCATAATGTCCTGTTTTTATAAAATCAGTCAAAACGTGGTTCTGATTAGAGGCACAAATAAATTTCCGAATAGGAATCCCCATCATTTTGGCATACACTGCAGCTAAAATGTTACCAAAATTTCCTGTGGGAATACAGACATCCACTGGGCTTCCAAAAGAAATAAATCCTTGGCTAACAAGATCAAGATATGCAGAAGCATGATAAACTACTTGGGGAAGCAGTCGACCCCAGTTTATGGAATTAGCTGAACTCAGGATTGTTCCATATTCCACAGTAAGAAAGCCAGTAAAATTGGAATCTTTAAAAATTCTTTTTATAGCTGTCTGGCAAAAATCAAAATCTGACTTGACACCCACTGCCCATCCATTTTCTTTCTGACTACCAATTATTTGAGCTTTTTGAAAATCACTTATTCCATTCTCAGGGAAAAATGTGGCCACAGCTATTCTTTGTTTGTCATTCTCATTAAGATGACTAAAACCATTTAAGACAGCACTCCCTGTGTCTCCTGAAGTTGCTACAAGTATCATATAATTACAACTTGGTGGGATACAGTATGCAAAGAGATGAGGCATAAGCTGTAAAGATAAATCTTTAAATGATCCTGTTGGTCCATAAAACAACTCCAGGATGAACTGGTTGCCAGAAAGGTGCCTGACAGGGGCAATTTTTGAGCAGGTAAAGTTTTCCCCATAAGCACTTTCAATCATTTCTCCCAATCTGGCAGCAGGTACGTCAGCAGGATGTATACACTTTTCTAACAGTATTTGTGCTCTCTCTACATAGGTTGCTCCCACTAGGCTTTTCCATTCCCCAGAGTTTAATTTTGGAAATTCCTTCTCAGGAACAAAGAGTCCACCATCGCACGCTAACCCCTCAATCACAACTTCGCTAAAAAATTTTGTTGAAATCTTTTGTTCACAGTCTTTAGGCCAAATGTGTCTTGTTGAAATAAATGTTTCTGAGTCCACATCTTGATATCTTTTAACTGCATTAAGCACTTTGTCAGCTACCTTCTCTGGGGAAGCCCCACTTTCACAAAAAACCCGGGTATCATACCACTTCTTATAATACTGTCTTCTTAATTTAAGTAACTCTATCATAGATGTCCCAGAATTCTGACCTACAATCCTATCTATTTTCATTAATTTTAGACGGCTAACTATATCCGTTAGAGGTACATCCAAGTATACGACTATTCCATTTTTCTTCAAATGCCACATGCTAGCATCATGCATTGGATTGGACCCAGTAAGGGAAATTACACTTCCAGATGCAGAGAAGTTTAACACGGCTTTTCCTTCCTCTTCTAAAAATTGTTCATTACCAACATCCTGTAATTTTTCAGACACACTCATATTCCAGGTTTTTTCAAGGATATCATCATCCACATCTATGACACAACAACCTAATTTCTGACCTATTATTCTGCCTACTGTTGTTTTCCCAGCTCCAGGCGGTCCCATCAGGACAATATTTTTGTCTCCACCAAGAGAGTGGGTTGAGTGCCATGACTTCCTTGATTCTGCAAGCACAAAGGTTCTTGAAAGAAATAGCTGTACATGTTTATCCATGTTAACATGGATAACAGAAAAACATTTCTCAGTTATTTGTTTCAGATGCTGACATCGGTTAAAGTGGAGCATTCTCTTTTCAGTTTTCTGCCCAAGCCAACCGAAAAACTGGCTTTAGCCTTTTTCAAAACATAAAAACAAACAAACAAAAATTTGGTTACTAATTTCAAGATTTAAAATCCTTACAGGAATGAATATAACCATGCCCACAGTATATAAACTATTTTAAAACATTCCATATTTACGAGACACTTAAAAAGTATTTGAACCCAAATTCCCACATGATGCATATTATATTTTTTTAAATCTTTTCAAATTTCAAGCCATTGAATAATCAAAACTTTAATAATTTGTAACTATTAAGCAAAAGAATCTTTATTCAAAAAATGCTGTATAATAGATACTTTTTAAAAATATATGCTAAATAAAATTAGCATTTCTTTTACTAAAATGAAAATTGTTTCATGGTGTATAACCCATATGATTACTTGGAGTTGGAATGCTATTTATTTGCAGTTCGCAAACGCCGATTAATACTCTTTCTATTTAATTTCTCTCTAGTTATATGAATATGTTGGTAGTCTATCATGTTACTCATAAATTGCTTACATATAGTATTCACAACAGGAAACCAGAAAAAGGATTGCTTGTAACATGCTTAAATAACTCTCCGAAGTATTGGGCTAAGGTATGACATATTCTTTCTTATGTGACTTTTTTATGCATACTGTTAAGAATTATTCTTATATTTTTTCATATTGAAGACCTTAACAAAAAGCTAAAAGGAAAGGCATAACATGCAAATAATTAAGGAAAAGTGATCAGTGGCAAGGTCAAAGGCTACATATATATAACCTTATGTGCATGGAACCATCACTTAGGTCTCTGTACTATAAACATCATTGGTGGAAAGACTTAATTAAAATTCCAGGCTCCAAAGTGACAGCAATAAAACCTCAAGAATGTTACCAATGATAAGAGGAAAAAATTGTTCTGGCATCCAAAGCAGAGCTGTAATTCCTCACATGGGTCAAATCCCTGTTTTGGGAAATATACTCGCCATTATAACACAAATGTAGCATGCCAGACAAGTAAAAATTTTAGTCACATGCAGATGCAAGTTGATAACTTCTGCCAAATTTATTTAAATTGACTATGGTAACTTTATTGCCACACAGTGGGGCTTTTCAAATGTTCTGTGGTAGAACCAAAATGCAACTAAGCTATATTGAATGTTAGATGGTACATTTAAATATGTTCAATCATTTACTACTACAATTATCAATTCTATTTAAACTATGTTCTGTAATTAACCATTTTAAGCTAACACTGAATTTAACTTACAAGTTAAATTACAACTGAGAAGGAATACATTTCTTATTTGGTTTTCCAGCTTATACGTGCTGTGCTTAATTCTCAGTGACTTGTAAACATGATACACACGCACCGATCTTAGACGATGAGTTTGCTGAAGCTGAGGCAAAGTCAATCTTTGCAAAAGTGAAGTCTACAATGGAAAAAAATTCAAGTTAATCATAACTGCATGCAGTACCATAAAACTGTACACATAGACTAGTCTATTATTAAAAGTCCATCTGAAATATTTAAAGTGCAGAAAAATAATGATCGTTTCTGTCTGTTATTAAAAGATTAAAATACTGCTTTTTTCAACATGTGTGTCTTATTGTAGAAAAGAATTTTATTAAACAGTAGTGAAAAAATTTCTGTCATCAAGGAATATAAAAGATGATATGATCAAATAATAAAACATATAAAATTTCTCACATTACTTAAAATTTTAATGATTTAATGGGGGTTATACATAAATTTTAGCCACAATTCACAAATATGGAAGCTGTGAAAGTGAGGAACAACTGCATATCATTTTCATTTATGATGCAAAGCTATGTTATTAGACATTTTTCATTTATTTATATGTTAGTATGTTTTTCAGTATAAAGGTCACAAATAGGCAATTCTGGGATTTGCCAGATCCCACACAAATCTGGATTATTGCCAGAATTCAAGGAGAAGAAGTACAGTAATCACTTTTCAAATTGCTTTTTAATCATTTCTTAAGAATGCTAATAAAGTTACATTTTAAACCAGAAATACAGGCTAACTTTCAGCAATTTATTTACAGTGATGTTTCCCTAAGTTTACCACTAGATGAATGATAATCAACCAAAATCATGCTCAACATGTTATTAATTTTTAGTTTCAAAATGGTCCACAAGAATTTTTTGATTCCATTATAAAACCACTTATCTTTCAATTCCTCTGGGAAATTGTCAAAATCCTACTTAGTCAAAATGATTCAGCATTTTTCACCCATTTAAAATAAAACACAGCACTTCGAAAACTATTTCATGATGAGAAATGGCTATAGTTTAATGAACTTTTGGACATATTAATGCCGTGATTATGTTTGTCATTCTTTATTAATGCAATTTCTATTTAAATTTCTCAGAAGAATGACTAAACCTAGTCCACTGTAAGGAAAGATACTGAGGTTTTTTTTAAATTACTGCATTTTTACAGCATTGTTTTCCAAGAAGTAATTAAGAACAAACGAGACCACATTAATGACATAAGGAGGCAGGGGCAGGTAAAGCTCTGCCGCTTCTCACTACTCAGCAAACATCCTCTAAACAAGCTCCTATTTCCACAGAAATTGTGAGGTGGAGAGTGTGAAAGGACCACATACTCTGAAGCCATGTTGTAATCACAGGGATCTTACAATCAAAAGCATATTTTTACAAGTTCACCACTCACTGTTGCCTTAACCTTAGATCAAAGCTGACTAAGCATTTCCTGTTGTTTCTTTGTGCTGTTAGATATCCCCTTAATGCTCTTGAATATTTAATTCAATACTTTTAAAGTATACTTTTCCAATTTATAACTTAGGAAAATATTTTAAAGTACATCTGTCTTTATAAAGGGTTTATATTCCTCCCAACTGTCTCATTTGTATTCACAACTACACCCATTTTATTCATCTAACTAGATTAAAATAATCTTCAGCAAAACAAACAAACAAACAAAACCCAAATGTATGTACAACCATTTATATCAGGAGTCTGTGTCAAATACAACCCACATGCCAAATCTGGTCCACTGCTCATTTGTAAATTTAAATTAAGTTTCAGAGAATACAACTTTGCTTTCATTTGTTCATTTGTTTAGCACTGTCTTTGGCTGCTGATGAGCTACAATGGTATCATTCAGTAGTTGCAACAGAAACCAACTGGCCTGCAAAAGCCTAAATATTTATTAACTAGCCCTTTACAGAGTAAGTATATGACCTCTTATGGATCCTGTGGACATACTGGACACAGGCATTTCCTTGAACAATATTGCCACACTGAAGGCATTATAGTAATTAGAAATTCATTCTTTGTAAACATACTTTCAAAAAATAAACAGAATTACAGACCAAGTATCTAAGGAAAAAAGTTCCTTTCCAAACTATTTAACAACTTCCACAATAACTGTAAACTAAATATCTTATAGTGAGATCAAATTCTGTTCAGTAATTTTAAAACCACAATAAATATGACATCCATGAAAATACTGTATTCAGAACCACTACAAAGTTAAGACTAAGGCCAGTCAGTACTTACTAACTGAAGAAATGTTTTTCTTTGCCCTTACTGGCTCCTAAATGAACTGATTAGCAGAAATAGTCTTAAAGTGTTCCTTCTAATTAGAAAATTTGTAAGTTATTGCCAATGACTATCCATTTAGCTAATGGTATTACCATTCTGAGTACTCAGTTCAAATCTCAGTATGTAGAGAGAAAAGAATTGGAACAAAAAACCCAAACAAAAAAAAAATTAAAAGGGGAAACAAAAAGGTCAAAGTGGCATATACACGTTTTGAAAAATAAAAAATCCGATGTGGAGAATAGGGGAATCATCCCCAAGGTGTCACCCATCTGAAATAAAATATTTGTTCAACGCCTGGGATAAAAATTAACATCAACTGGCTAAGAAAATACTACATTAATACTTATCTAATGAAATTCACTGATTCCCAAATGATAAGAACTCAGACAATCAGCAAAGCCTTTTAAGTAGGAACTAAAAAATTAAGACACCATATGCTTTTAATCCCCCCACTGAGTATACTGGCAGTCAGACGACCGAAACTGGTGTTCTCTCCCATCTTCGAGCATCTTTATTGTCTTTGGAACTGACACTTGTAAGGTCAGTTCAGAACCATCTATCTTCCTTCCTGAATTACATTGCCAAAATGTCTTTTAGGAATTCGGAAGTCAAAGCTTTTAAAAAGTTTCTCTCGGGAGTCATACGTGTACAAATACGTTCATGTAAGACCAAATGGATTGAGAACGGAATAAAACTGCCTCTCCTAAAGATAAATTTTCAGACACACACACACGCACAAGCACACACACATACACACACGTGTGAGCAAAAACTAAAGGGCCCATTTAAACGGCTTCCTCTGATTTAGGCTACTTGTTTAAAAAAAAAAAGCCCACACATAGGTGGAGAAAGATCTAACAGGAAGGGCCGGATCAAGAGGGAAACAGGATGGAAAGCAGATGTTAGGGTGCAGAAGCAATGGCAGAAGCCAGGACGCGACAGGTGGATGGCGGGACGTGGGCGCACAGGGAGCTCAGGCCAGCCGAGGCCAGAAGCAGAAGTGAGCTGAGATGACAACAAGGGAACGGAAAGGGGAAGGAACTAGGTGGGTAAGGCATGCGATGGGAACGGACTAACGTCTATAACCTCCCTTTATTTTTCCTCATATAACTCACCAAAAAAAAAAATGACACTGAGAAGACGGGGATAAGTAACGGAAATGGGAGGGAGTACCCAGGAGCTGCCAGTGTCCCCTCGGTAACGAACCCCACACCTACGGCTCTCCCCACGCACGACAGCAGCACAGGCCCAGGTGCTCGCTAGCCTGCTCCAAACCTGCCCCGCCGCCCCTGCGACTGCGCCGGTGCGGACTCGCGCTTCCGCGCGCTACACCCGAGGCCAAAAGTGCTGGGCCTGGCACGTGACTCTCGTCGGGCGCTCCACCCACGGGGCCGCCCAGCTCCCTGGGTCCCTCCCCTTCCTCCTCCAGCTCCAGTTGTGGGCCTGCGTCGGCGTGGCCAGATCCGCTTGCTCCGCCCCTGCCGTTTTTGGGACGTGCAACGAAGAGCGTTGTTGTGACGTTAGGTTCCCGATTCGTTTCTCGTGCGTTTGGGATGGTTTTTCTCTCCAAATATAGAGACAGAAAGAGCAACATTTTTCAGAGGATGCCTTTTTTCACTCCATTACTGCCAGAGGCACATATAAACAGTGGTCTCCATTGAGCTTTCCCGGCAAAAGAATGAGCTGCGGTGACGGAAAAGAGGAAACGTAGCTTGCTGTGCTTCCTCCCCCGCTTTCTCGTTGCCTAGTAACTGTTTCCAAGGCAAGCTCGCGGCTAACAACGCTAAGCAACTCCAAGAGGACTAGGGTATATTCCCAATAGAGGGCCGCTAGTAAGAGGTCAAAAGGGAATTGCGTGAAAAAAATAAATCTTAGTTACTTGAGAAGGCAAGAGAGTAGGAAAGGAAAGGGGAAGCAGTGAAGAACGGGACAGAGATACTGATACTCTGAGAAAAAATTTGAGTAGTTTTGAGGCGTCATTTGGTGGCCATGGATTCAACATGCTCTTCTGAGAGCATTTATAACCTCATACCCAGTGACTGGAAGGAGCCTCCCCAGCCTCCTCGGTATGTAGGTAATATAGGACTATCGCTTGAATGAAGAATGGGGAATGATTGTTCTATTTCAGGATTAACAAAGCATCAGAGGACTTTTAAAAAGAAGTTAAAAATAGATTCAGCCTTGGATAATAACTTCGTAAATAAAAGTCTGCAAAATTAGATATTTAGTTTCTCGGAATTCAGAAAGGGCAATCCAGTGCTGCTAGAGGGCCATTTTGTGTTAGTCTCCTGTAATATGGTATGTAATTGTTTTGTAATTTATTTGATTTGTTCGCACATGATGTGGTATGTAACATTTGAAATTTATGTGGTATATGGGAAATTTCTTGTTGAAAAGAAAAAAATCACAATTTTATCCTGTGTTAGGAGTTTGTTGTTTTAGGAGTTGTTTTATTTCTGACTGCTTTCTTCCTAAAGGGCTAGTACTCATTTCCCCCTATCATTTCCCCCTATCAATTTGTTTCTGATCCTCAATTTTTATTATTTATTACTTAGTAATAGTTTTAGATAGAGAAACATCAGTTTGTTGTTCCACTTACATTCATTGGTTGATTCTTGTGTGTGCCTCCACGGGGAATTGAACCCAAAACCTTGGCATATCTGGACGACACTCTACCAACTGAGCTACCCAGCCTGTGCAGAGCCTCAGTATTTTGCTCAGTGAAACAAACAAAAACAGACAAGATAGTTTCTAAGGTCTCTTATGGGTCTAATAGTGAGATGGAAGGAAGAGTGGATAGAGAACCAAAAATATGTAATTGATTTAAAATGTGTACATAGGTGATAGGGGCTTTTAAGTTCTCCAAATTTCAAAAAGATCATCAAAAATACATTTCATTTACTCTCATGTGTAGGGACTGAGGATTTCTTTAAGTCAGTAAAAAGAAAAGAAGGTAAGTAGTGAAGAAAATCTCATTCCTCCTAGGACTTTGCTGTCATTTACCTTTCGCCTTTTCCTGATTCAAGTCAAAACCACATTAAAAGCATTAGGCTAAGGAAAAATAAAAAGGAGGCTACAACTAATTGGTTTTGGTAATTAATTAATTATGAATTAATTGTTTGTTTTCTGATCTGTAAAACTAAATAATCTTTATGGCTTCTTTCATATCTAATGGTCAGTTGTTTTTGTTGATAATTACCCGGCATGGGTAACATCTTCAATAAGTGAGCACACCCTTCCTTTTAAGCCTGAGTATCTTAGTTTTAATCAGAGCAGTACCTGCATTGTTTTCCATTCACTTCTCAAAATCTAGTAGATATTGGAAAGGGGAATATAAAGAAGATATGCTACAGTTGCAGAGTTTATGAGCAGTGTTCAAACTATTACTGAATGGACTTTTGGTTCAAAATTCCTGTATATTGTACAACATAAAGCTTCTCCTCTCTGTAACCTACTGGTAGATTGTCTTTTCCTTAGAGTACTGAATTTGAATGGTAAAATATTTTGTTAGATAGTTGTTCTGTCAATGGTAAATTAAAAAAGCTTTAGTATGCATCTAGGTGATTTTTTTCAAGAAGTTTTATAGGAACAGTCTTTTTCATTTGACAAACATTAACTGAGCCCCTATGATGTGTATAATATTGTTCTTGGAAAATATAATACTGTTCTTGGGGAATGTTGGAGAGACAACGCAGACTCCTTAGTTTACTCTGAAGGAATATGGTGCTACAGGACTCTCTCTGTTAATGAGTCAGCCCACAACCACTAATTTATAAAAACAGAACATAATTACACATTTAACCAATACTTTCTTACCACACTAACACAAATTTATCCTGACTCAATCCCCTGAATGATAGTAAGAATTAGTCATAAGAAATATATTAAGATACAAGGCTTACTTGTATTTGCAGCTTCAGGAAAGCTCACTATAGGCCCTGGCTGGATAGCTCAGTTAATTAGAACATTGTCCTGACACACACGGTTGCAAGTTCAATCCCTAGTCAAGGCACATATAAGAATCACCCATGAGTGTATAAATAAGTGGAACAGCAAATTGATGTTTCCTTCTCCCCCTTTCCTCTCTCTTTACAAAATCAAATTTTTGAAAAAAGCTCACTGTAAGAACTCAGCTTTTTATAAGACTGGCAAGATGATTGTCCAGCTTTCATAAAGAATGGGATTTTTTTTAAATAAAAAATTGGCTCTACTGTGATATCCCATACCTCAGAGTTTGGTTCCCTTGGAAAACAAAAATAAAAACATTAAAACATTGATTAAAATAAAACCATATATTACTGAAGGCCTTAATGAGAAATGTAGATCCTAAATGAGACAGATGTATGTTACCAAATAGATATTATGTAACCAAAGTAAGGTGAAGGACAACCTTTTCCAGGTGAACCAAAAGTGGGACTTAAGAGATAAAAGTGTTAAAGTCAATGGGAAATGAATCAATTTCAAAATTTCAGTTACTCATGATGTGTGAAGTGGTTTCCAAGATCTTTGCCAAATTTGTGACTCTTCTATTGATAACTCCAGCAACTTGACATCTCTGATCATTCTCTCTTTCCCTGTTGTTTAAGGTAATATTCCACATTTGGTCTGAATAGCCATAGGGTGATGATCTACTTTTCTTGATACACAATACTTATATTGATGCATCCATTAGCATTTTGACAGTCATGTTCTTTCTACCATTGTCTCACATTGAAATTTCCACATGAATTATGATTGATTGGTCCCTCCTATCCTACAGTTGTGTAGCTGATTCTTTTTTATCGAAACTCATCATTAATCTATGGAGAGAGTTTTGAATTTTTAATCTTTCACACACTCTCTTAATCATCACTCCCAGCTTTGTGTCATTTGTAAATCCAATGTCTTTTATATCTCCATCAATCATCAAACAAGGCAAGTACAATACTTTGCACTTTAGTAGGCTACTAGATATTTTTTTCTAGGTAGACAGCAATAATGGACAGCATCCATAAATCAGTTCATACTTCTCTACCTTATCAGTAAGGATTTGATAAGAGGCTGTACTAAAGTCAAGATATATATTATTATGTCTCAGGTATTTTCCTGATTTATGAGTCCAATTATCTTATATTTTTTTTAAAAATGATCTTCATTTCAGTGACCTAAAATTTCAAAAAGCTCATGCAATCATTGCTGCTCCACAAATTTTTAGATGCTCTTTGAAATTGACATCAAGCTCACTTGCATAAAGTTTTTGGATGCATGCTTTTTGAACATGGGAATATTTAACGCCATAAGCAATCAGTAGTCATTTCTATTTTATGCCTTCAGGGTTTTCTTTGGGGTAATGTTGACATGTAGTCAGAATTTCATTTTCAGAACTTCTCATTCATCTTGGACTACCCTTTATTTTGATATATATTTATGTATATATTATATATATATATATATATAATATATACATACCCATACATTTTCCGAATGATTGTAACATCTTCTTGTTTAAAATCTGATTATTTATCTGAGATCTTGATTATTATGAAATCTTATCTGACATAGAAATCTTCTCCTGAGGTTCTTACCTACTTTACTGACTAATTACAGCCGATAATTCAATTGGAAAAAGCAGTAACACTTTTAAATGAACTTATATTCAAAGTCAAGAATATTCCATCTTTGTTTTTAGCATAATGAAATTTTATGCTAAAATTCCCATTGCTGCAATATATGACCTTGGACAGTTTTATGATTAGTGCTAGAAGTCGTTATTCCAATTTTTCATCTGGCTATCCAGTCTCCACAGACCTATATAATAATAACACTTCTCTTCATCTCTTGAGTTATTTTTACCCAAGTTCTCTTCTCACACTTACATGTTTTCATTCCAGACATAAACCTCACAGTTCACATAGATTTTAAAATCACCAGAAAAAGCAAACATACAACTTAAGATGTGCTATAATTAATATATTCACTTAAAAAGTGCAGAAAAATTGAAGGTCTGGGGAACTAGAAATAGAGGGATAATGAGAAAAGGTACTATTTTTTCTTCAGACGTATGAATGAAGGTAAGGGCATTCACAAGCAGGATTTTTGTCAGGAAGGAGAACTGCAGCTTCCATCTGCATTTACTGACTTAATGTTTGTTCATTGTGGGTTATTACTTCTCATTTGGGTTTCTATAGGTTATGTGTAACATGGTATATTAACACATCTCTCTGGCATTTCACATATACTTTTTTTTAATATTAAATTTTATTTAGTTACTTTTCAAGTACATTTTTTTATTTATCTATTTCTCCCATCCCACCCCACCCCCCCGCCCGGTCTCCCCCCTCCCTCCCATTCCCCCCCC